ACCTGTAAAGGTGAAGATTGAGCTGCTACTCACTCTGTCAATAATTTCCTAGTAGATAAGGCCCCTGGTGCTTTGTTCCTGCCTGTGGGATCACGGGTGCGGTCTTGGGGGACTCCCCTGTTGCATTCAGGAGTGGAGAGTGTGGCCGGTAGTGGTGCCTCACCATGGTGCCAATTTCTTGTGTAGATGAGGTTTTGTGTAGTCTGTTCATGTGCAGACTGACTTGGCTACTGCACAGGTGTGGCCCTTTTGGATGTAGTACACTGGCCACAATGGATGCCACCCTGCCAGCTCCCTCAGAAGTATTTAGCACAGGCCACTCTGTGACCTTGGGACCTTGGGCCTCATGGTGGTGGGACACTGGAAGCCCACCTCTCCCCTCTGTATCCTGTATGCACACAGGGTGAGTTTGGGAACCCACACCTACATGTCAAATTAGGACACAGCCAATGTATCCATGTAGCCACATTTCCCAATAGACAACAACGGGACACTGGCAGCAGGATCCACACAAAACCTGTGCATCCCTATGCTGGTAAAAGATAGTCCTGCATGGGCCACACATCTATTTACCCCATGTGAACAGGACCTTATCCTGTAAGAAACCATTCCTTGTGCTTCACAGAAAAGGTTGTTTTGAGACCTCAAACTTCCTTTCTGTCCAAGGTGGTGTTGGCATTTCATTTAATTCAAGATGTTGGGGTTAATTTGCTAAATGTAAATATACTGTGCACTGCAAGTACAGTTGCTTTATATCCGAGGGGAAGCTCTGAAATGAGGCGAAGCTCTGCTGATTTCTTTCATCCATGTGCAAGCAAAAATGCTGGGTTTTTTTTTAGTTGCATGTTCCCCTCAGATCTAGAGCAACTGCACCTGGAGTGCACTTTTCCAAGTGCTCTTGGACTGCACTTGCAGTGCACAGCCTATTTGTCTTTAGTAAATCAACCCATAGTGTTTCCTTCTGCTGTTTTTATTTTACTTGCATGTTCCCCTCAGATCTAGAGCAACTGGACTTGGAATACACTTGCAGTGCACAGCCTATTTTCCTTTAGTAAATCAACCCCATAGTGTTTCCTTCTTATTGTCTGACTCCTAATCATCCTAGGGAGATTTCTCTCCACTGTTTGGATCCAGTTAGGACTACACAAGTCTATCTTACAGCCACTCTTTGGCAATCTGATCCCTGTTTGTGTTGCCTGAGGGATCCCAAAGGGACAGGCTGCTTCTGAAGCCACAATTTCTAGTTGGATTTGTCAACTCGTTACTCAGGTGTACAACCTGAGAAAGAAGGACAGTCCATTGGAAGTGTTGGTGCTTAACAGGCTTTTCAGCATCAGGCCTTGGTCTCTCAGGTCTGTAAGGCTACACACATTTGCTAAGTTTTACCAGGGTGGATGTTAGGCCTTGGCAGATACCAGCCACGGATGGAAATTCTTCTAGAGGGCCCTGTAGGGGCCATGGCTGTTTGTCCTCTTTTTCTACTTTTAAGGAAGTTCTTTTGGTTGACCTGTTGGCCATTGTTTGCTGTTGCCCATCTTCATGGGATTGCTTTTGGATGTTCCAATATTCAAATTATTAACCATTGCTGTCCTGTTAACTTGTTAACTATTAACCATTTATTAATCCCGTGTACAATTAAGAAAATACAATTTGTAACTTAGCTTTAAAGTCCTTTTCTTGGAGCATTTCACGAGACAAAAGTCCCTCCCCTCTTTTTCACTCCGATATTGCTTGCTGACAAAATAGAGGTAATGCTGAGAGTAGGAGTTATGCTGGGCTCAGTTAAGCTTTGTTATTTGATAGTGTCCAACCACCTGGAAGTGGAGCATAACAAAATGGTGTAAGAATAAACCATGCCTGCGTCTTGTGATGTACTCCTCGAAAATGATTTAGAAGTAGTTGTTACACTTTTCTTTACTCTGTTTATATACTATTCGTTTATATCATAGATGCGAATTATAAATGTATATTTACATTGTCCTTTGTACTATTTTAACAAAAGCATATTAAATCATGATGTCCTAGCTGATTGTAAGTTTTATTGTTATTTAGTCCCATTACTGAAACACAGCTGCAAAGTGAACTTATTGTAAATCGACACTATCTTTGTTTGAAATCTGCATCCTAGGCTTCTAGGTCTATCGCTGTGCACAAGGAAACTTGCTTTAAATGCACACTTCCTTTAGAAAATTGTTAACATCTGGACCTGAGGGAAAAACAAAAGCACTTTTATTCTTTTCAATCAAGCCCTGATGTAAGATGAGAGGGCCGCCCTTTTCAGTACCCATATTTAATCAGTCACAGGCTCTCCGCATAAACTTCATTCCTTCGTTTAGAGGGGCTGTATAAGCAAGTAGGTTAGTCTGTCTTTCCATTTATATTTTTCTTACCTGTATATAGCATTCAATTTGGGTTTGGGAATAGTTAAAAAAAAGTTATAAATAACAATGATTTCCCACATATAGTATAGATGTTATAAGTGAGCAGTGATAGGAACGTTGGGGGTAAAAAGAACAATAGAACTTTTGTAGCCTCCCACAGTCTTTTTCTCAAAGTCTATCAATGCCCTGAAATCAGTAACACTACATATACTGAATAGGCTAACAAGATAAGCCTCTCTGACTTAATTAAGCACAAAGTGATCTCTGACCTCCATCAACCAAGTAGAAGTTAAACATGGGTCTATTGTACCACCCTAAACATTTGTCATCAGTATTATCAACTTCAATTGTAACTGCATCTCATTATTATAGTTAATGCAAGTGTAGTCTATGAATGTATTCAGCCAACATAAAGCAAAAATACTTGTCAGTAAAATCAAATCTAAGTAATAAAAAAAATCTGATAACTCTTCACAGCCTGAAAAATTAAAAAAAAAACAGTCATCAGTACCACATTTAATGCATTAATGGTGGAATATCCAAAAGTAATCACTCTTAAATGCATTTGTCTGCAAATGTATGTAAATGAAACCAAAATGTATTCTTAACCACTTGTAGACCAAGCCTTTTCTGGCACTTTTTGTTTACATATAAGAATAATTTTTTTGGTAGAAAATGTCTTAGAACCCCCAAACATTATATATTTTTAAAGCAGAGGCGCTAGAGAATAATTTGTTGAATTTTGCAATTTTTTATGTCGCACGGTATTTGCGCACAGTTTTTTAAACGTAATGTTTTGGGAAAAAATTACCTTTTTTAAAATTTTAATGCTAAAAAAAATACATAACCCATTTTTTTTATAAAACATAAAAGATTATGTTACACCGAGTAAATAGATACCAAACATGCCATGCTTTAAAACTGTGCATGCCTGTGCAGTGGCGACAAACAACATACATTTTACTATCCATGGGTGATGATTTAAAAGCCTTTACAGATTACCCCTTTAGATTTATAGAGGATGTCTGGTGCTAGAATTACTGCCCATAATCTGACGTTCGCGATGATACTTCCCTTGTGTGGGATGATTGCTGTTTGCATGCATGTGAGACTGTCGCATACATTCGCCTTTGTACGCAAGCACGGGGGAACGGGGGCATTTTAATGCTTTTTTAAATAATTTTTTTTTACACTGTCACTTGAAAAAATTAATTTTTTTATCTCTTTTATTGCTGTCACAAGGAATGTAACATCCCTTGTGACAGCAATAAGCATGTGACAGGTAGTCTTTATGGAGAGATCTGGGGTCACTAAGACCCCAAATCTTTCCTCTGCCCTTAAAAGCCATTTAATCACACCAAAATCGGTGTGATCAAATGCTTTTCTTTTTTAAAAATGGCACCATTTATATCCAAGTAAACCGGAAGTGATACCATCACTTTCAGGTTACTATATCATAGAGTCAAGCAAAGCCAATCTGGTATTTGGCCAATCTGGAAGCATCAGCTGGTGATTGGGACTCCCGGTGGGGCAGGAGATCCCGTTAAAGGTGGAGGGGGGGAGCCCTCTCCCACTGCTTGTAATAGCAATCGAGAAGCTAGTTAGACCGTTGGCTCTAAAAACCTGGACCAGGATGATGCTTGCAGCTGCAGACATCATCCCGGTATAAATACTCAAACTCCAGCGACATATGGGTACGTTGTTGGAGCTCAAGTTGTTTTAGAAATTCATAGTGTTTCCTACTAACAATTTTAAATATGCATCATGTTATAAATTAAAAATGCATTTATTGTTATTCACATAAAGTGGACATACTGCTTATGCTTAAATATGTCTTTATTACTACTGGTGGCTACCATTTTGGGCATGCTAAAAAAACTAGACTTTTGGGAAAGATGAGTGACTCGGAGGAGGGTCACCCCCTTCTCAATCATAGTTAAAGCAGGCTGCGAAAAAGTATATAAGCAATGCATTTCTTTGGGTTCTTGGTATTTTTTGGGAGGAAAGTCCAGCATCATCTACAAACCCTCATTGTTGCACCCTGTATTTAATTTTTATCTAGGGAAAGAAAAATATTATACATATAAATAAGAGATGATAGTTAAGCACAATAGTTTTGGGTCAATGTAATTTTTTAAGTACTTGTAATTCTAGAAATAAACCCACATTTATCACTGATTTTTCCCTAATTGAAGATCTCCTTTAATTTCTCCCAGACTTGAGGCTTTGGTTGAAAATATGAAAGTATCCTACATTAGCAGACAGCTGGGTGGATTGTAGCCTCCAAACATTTAACACATACAGTTTAACTGTAATTGAAAAAACAGAGAATGTAAACAACATATCCGGTTAGGGGGCAAAAGGCAACATGAGTCTCCCATAGATATATTTGTTTTCTTTGGTTGACAACCAAATCATCTATATCTGAATGTAGCACATATAACTAAATTAAGTATCATCCCAACTGTTTTGTGTTCAAACAGAAATCCAGACCTCCCAGTGTCAAAACATTGCGTTATATTTTGAATTTCATAGTTCAATTAGAATTTTGAAATATATTTCATAAAATTGCTTATCTGAGAATGAACTGACATCTGGGGACTTATTTATGTATTTCAGTTTTACAAGAATGCAAAAGATTGGTGGCTGTTTGGCTTCTATTTCTGTGTACCCCTGGCATGTACTGGAATTTTCTATACACTAATGACATGTGAGATGTTACACCAGAGGAAGGGAAGTCTCCGCATAGCATTGAGTGAGCACCTAAAACAGGTATGTAAAAACTAGACAGTGTTGTATCAGTTTAGATTAAATTAAGATTGGATTGCTCTTTGCCATTTTAGACAGCGCCATGAAGGTCGAGCTGTACAGCTTCAGCGGTTACAAGATTTAACCCGGGTCATGCCCAACAGTACGTTAGGATTGACGGCAAGGTATTGGAGTTCCTGAATGCAAAATGTGAAACTGCCTTCCTTTCCAAGAGGAGCCCTTGACAAAGCAACTAGACTGGACTATACAGACGCATGCACAAGAAAAAGCAGTTGGAAGAAGTCCAGAAAAAGCGTACGCGCCATGCAGTGAAGTTCCAGAGGGCTATTACTGGTGCTTTTCTGGCTGAAATTATGGCAAAGAGAAACCAGAATCCTGAAATGCGAAAGGCTCAGCGGGAACAAGCAATTAGGGCTGCCAAAGAGACAAAAAAAGCTAAGAAGTTTACCAAAAAAGGGTGTTCCTGCTAAGGCTTCAGCAAAGCCTGCACCCAAGCAGAAGATTGCCAAGCCAGTAAAGATGCAGGCTCCCCGTGTTGGAGGAAAACACTAAACATGTTCCTATTGGATGTGTTAATAAATTACTATTTTGAAAAAAAAAAAGATTAGAATAATTATCACTTTGTATTTGATCTCACTCTCCGTATTCCATATTTCAGACATCCTTTGACAAGAATCTGTCAAAAAAGTATGTGGGCAAGCCTATATTTTTCAAAGCTTCCTATGCTTATTCACTCCACTTATCTTTGGAAGAAGCCATGGTTGTTACATATGTCTTGTATTTTCATCTCTGTTACATGGGGGCTGGGGAGATTGATAGCTACCAAAAAAAAAAGATAAGATTGTGCTTTCAGCTCACAGGAAGTGGCAAGGACACAGCATTTCTGGCAAGATCAGATTTTTTCTGCACTTGTTGAAAATGTTCTTAGCCAAAAAAAACAGTGCAGCCACTACATCTATGGAGTGGTAAACTGCAATATATAACATTTTTGTTCTTGGGTTTTGATAGCCTTTCAGGGATTTTACAATGCATTACAATCCATTTTCTAAACGTTTTTGTTTATTTATTTTATTACAAGTATTTAGACATGCACAAGCTGAAAAATTCAGTCACATACCCTGAACATGGAGGGGTGCTCTAGGGGGAGGGAGGCTTCCAACACCTTAGCCCCAAATTGATGAGGACAAGGGCAGTGCTTGTGGGAGTGCTGGGGTGACTTATCATAATCTGGAAGCCCCCTTTAACAAGACGGACCCCGCATCTCGTTCCCCCCAAGTGAATGAGTATGGGGTACATAGTAGTCCTACTCACTCACCAAAAAAGTGTCAAAAGTAAGTAAAAATGCAGAGACAGTTTTTGACAAGTCTTTTATTAAAAAACTCAAAACAAAAGTACCCCAAAGTAGATATAATGTCAAACACAATGAACATTGACCAGCAGCAAAACGAAACGCTGCTTGCCACTGGGTGACCTCATCCCTATGTTTACCCGTCATTCGGTGAGTGTCTCTCCACAGGAAATGTCACTCACTGAATGATAGGTAAACATAAGGGCAGGGTCACCCGATCTGCCTCCCCCAAAGCACCCCCCATGTGGACATGTGACCTGGTATGGTTCAGTCAGCAGGGAAGGGAGCTCACTCATCCCCCCTTTCCTGGCCTGCTAGGCTGCATGCTCAGATAAGCGTCTGGTATTAATTTTTTTTTTTTTGGGGGGGGGGGGGTTCCTTGGTTTTTTTTTTTAATTAAATTTTGGCCTGGGGTTCCCCTTAAATTCCTTACCAAAACTAAGGGTCTAGTATTGATTTTGGGGGGGACCCACACCATCTATTTTATTGTTGGTGTGGGGTTCCTCTCAAAATCCAAATCAGACCCGAAGGACCTGGTAGGGATTGGGGGACCCCCACACTGGTTTTTATTTTATTTTTTTTTTAACTGCCACTTGTTTTGTTTAAATTCTGCTGACAGCAGATGAGTCATGGTTGTTAAGGACGCAGCAGTCACCCACTCCTTAAAAAACAGCTATTATTCACAATGAATTTGAATGATATCAAATATATTTGAAAATGTGATATCATTCGAACGAACAAATGCATTTGTTATTTTTCATTAGAACTTTTTTCGGATTCATTGCCATTGATTTCTATGTCCATTCAGAAATTCGGATATATCCGAATCTCTGAAAATTACATTTTCATCTGAAAAACAAATCAAAATGAAACAAATTGCACATGTGTACAGGTATTTATATAGCAACAACAATGTACTTTAATACTGATTTTACTGTCCAATTTCTATGTGTTTTCCAGAAGGAGGGAACTTCTATACAGCTCTATATATTTAAATACAAGGACTGCATGTTTTTTGCTACACCATATTTTTTTCTTTTTTTATAACCTGCAGCAAGCAGATTTCTTTAAAACAGAGTGTACAAAAAAGTGACCAAATTGGTCAGAATTAGCAATATGGAAGGCTTTGATAGACAATATGGGCAGTCAGCTTCATGCAAAAAAAAAAAAAAAAGCATACTTTTGTGAATATGTAGATTGTCTGCATAATTAATTTAACTGTAAGATTGAATAGCATCAAACAATATTAAAGGCTGGAGTTTCAAGGATGTCATGTAATATGTACAATGTTTTCACAGCGCCGTGAGGTTGCAAAGACTGTGTTTTGCCTGGTTGTGATATTTGCCCTGTGTTGGTTTCCTCTGCATCTGAGCAGAATTATCAAGAAGACCGTGTACAATGAGCAGGATTCTGGACGCTGTGAGTTTCTAAGGTAATCTGCAGTTTTTGAAAGACCGAATCTACTCTAGTCTATTGTGCATAGCCCTACTCTAAGTATAATGTGTTGTATAGACAGCATGGCAATACATAGCTATAGAATTGGAAAATAGAGAGATTTATTTACTGAATGCAACTAGGCTGTTCATTTGCAAGTGAATTTTGCCTTAGCTTAGTGAGCGTGCTGAAATTGCACATTGCAAAGTATGCCCAATCACATGCAGGGAAAGTTAAAAAAAAACAAAAAAAGCAGTATTTTTGCTTGCACATGATTAGATGATGGAAGTCAATAGAGCTTCACCTGATTTGCTAACCTCTGGTGAAAATTCCCTTGGAAAATGCAACTTCCCTTGCAAAGTGTACAGTCTATTTGGCTGTAGTAAATTAACCCCATATTTTCATCAAAAGTTTTTTGTTTGCTTTTTTTTATTTATTACCTATATCATACTTTGCCAGTATTGGGTGAACACAGTATTTTGTAACATGCTTCTGTGGTTGCCTTTACAGTTAATATCTTGATATCTAAGATGAAAGCAACACTTATATATATAAAAAACTGGCTCATGTAGCCTAATTTTTTTCTTTACAAAAGTTTTTTAAAATGTAACCATGTTCTGTTATTCTAAGGGCTCATGTACACTGCAGCTGATAAACTCACGTTTAGGAGCTGTTCTGCATTTTTTTCTGCAGCCCCTGAACTCACCCTAATGTTTTCCTATGTGTCCATGTACTCATCTTCATTTACAGTCGTTTACAGGCATTTGAGTTTACAGTCGTTTTTTTGAACGCAGAAAACTTGCGTTCAACAGTTGATTTTATCAGTGTTTTCAAACGCAAAACGCTTGTAAATGCGGCTAAACACGGCAAATCGCATTTATAAGCATTTGCGTCTGAAATTTTTTTTTTTAACTCTTCTAGTTCCCAATGCTGTCCAGAGCCTTTTTTCCTCATGAAAAATGCATAGAAAGTGTTTTCAAGGTACTGGGATGGACAAAACACTGAACACAGGATGTTCCCACCAAGCTTGTCACACATTGTAATGACTAATTCACACCTCAGACCTCTCCCACCCTTGGAAACAAAAGATATGTTAATGACCATTTCACACCTCAAATTCCTCATAAACACCCCCTGCCAGGTGGACTTAATGACTCACTCCACCAGACAACTTTCCCACTCTTGGAAACAAAAGAAATGTTAATGAGCAACTCACACCTAAGCTAATTTCAACACGTACTGCTGTCTCTGCTTCTACTCTCTGTATTTCAATGAAACAGTCTAAAAATAGTTAATAATTTACCACTTTTCAGTGGATTCTGGGCATTTGTGAGGTTCTCCTGTGCTTATCTTTAAAAAACGCTTCTAAACGCAAACGCGCATAAACACATTATGCAAATGCGGCAAAACAGACGTTTTTTAACCTTTTTAACCTGGACGTTTTCCAGCAGTCAGTTTCCATCGTTCAGAAGTGTCCCGTGTACATGGGGCCTACAAGTTTTGCTTGTACATGACTGGATGATGGAAGTCAGCAGAGCTTCCCCTAATTTAATAAGCTTCAGAGAGACTGCACTTGCAGAGAGAAATTGCTCTTGCAAAGTGCACAGTCTAGTATATCAATCCCAGTAGCTACTGCAAGCAATCTATTTTTGCACTTTGACTTTAAATAAACCCAAATGCTTAGCTTGGTTTTCAAAAATGACCTACAGAGCTGTTTCTGCCCAAACAGGTATCATCACAGTAAAAATAAGTTACACGTGAATCTATACTCAGACACCACAGGAGTGTATGCATAAATCATAGAATTACAGCAATATGGTGGAGTCCCATTGGACTGACTCCTTTTAAAATGTTTAAATGTGTTATTCAAATAATGAAGTTAAACAGATGGGATGTATTACAGGATAATACTGTCTGTTTCATTCCGAGTAAGATATGATTCGTAGTGGTGTGTTTTGGGTTACATCAATGTCTGTCTCCAAATGTTCTGTACTGAGACCTTAGCTAATTATATTAAGATGCAATACCAAAAATTCAGAGAGACAACAGTTTAATTGTTTTTTCTTTTGATATTTAGCTTTCTGCTGGTTATGGATTTTATCAGCATTAACTTGGCAGCATTAAACTCTTGTATTAATCCAATTGCGCTCTACTTCGTAAGCAAGAAGTTTAAAAATTGTTTCCAGGTAAGAAACTGTTCAGTGTCTGTAAAATAGTCTGTCCAAACTGGGAATTTTTCTCACGAAGTGACTGTAGATGAGTGTGCTTGTTCTCAGAAAACACTGATATGTGAATATCAATATAGCAATTATTTTACCTGCAAAAAATGTGCATTTATTATTTTTTATTAAAAGGTGAACTTATCCTTTAAGTTCTATAACAAATTGTCAGCATGAACAATATGAATTATGGGTTGCGTTCAATAGTCAATGGTGCATTTATTTATTGGTAATATGGAATGCTTTCGTAGATGATTGTAAACTGTCTCTGCAAAAAAAGGACAGTTTTATCATACTGTAGATAAGGGGTGTCAAACTGGCGGCCCTCCAGCTGTTGCAAAACTACAAGTCCCATCATGCCTCTGTCTCTGGGAGTCATGCTTGTAACTGTTAATCTTGCAATGCCTCATGGGACTTGTAGTTTGGCAACAGCTGGAGGCCACCAGTTTGACACCTGTGCTGTAGATACTTTAAACACCTTAGCTTTTATGGCGGCCAGCTAATGGTATGCCAGAACCCTTGTTATCTTACTCCGTCTCTTGTTTTGAGTTTATACTATATTTAACAAAAACCATGTAAATTAAAGAATGGACCATCATTCAAGCATAGGGTATTTTTTATTGGAAATGTGCTATAAACCTTTGACTACTGACAGGCTCCCCACCAACCACAATTTGTGTCATTGGTGGCAGAGGATAAATGTGAATGTTATTTAATTTATAAATACTTATGTATTATATAATTATGTAGATATATACGGATCAAGGTAACCTTTTTTTTTTATTCTAGTCGTGTCTGTGCTGCTGTTGTCAATCAAAGACCCTGACAAGCACATCCCCCATGATTGTGACCAGTATGCAGTGGAAAAATCATGACCAAAACTACTACATTGCAGACAGGAGTATTCACAAGGACAGCCTCAACTAGCCACATTCTTCAGGACAACAAGACTATGAACCACGCAATAAAAGTGGTTACTTTCTACAAAGGAACAAACTTGTCTTGTAAATGAAGAAAAGTAAATGCCCAGGCAATGCTGGATGCACCGTTCCATTTTAGAGATTTACTGGACAACAGTCAAATCTAAGCTGCAAGCTTCTCCATTGGCTGTAATACAGTCTTTTATGTCTAATGCTCGGCAGCGTGAGCCGTTGGACCAATGATGTTCTACAGACTTCTAGGTGGTGATGGAATGTACAATGCTATACTGACACACAACCACTTTTTCTGTCAGTGTTGAAGATCATCAAATAATCTAGAACCAGTCTTTGTTGAACTGAGTGCTGGCAGCTTCTACTTATCATGTTTCCAAATAATATTGAATGTACTGCTCTCCCTACTGTCTGCAGGGGGTGAAAAAGCAAACAGTATTTCTATGGAGTTATTATATAAACCTATAATTTCTTTGTATATAACAATTTTTATTTAACATATATAAATATGTATATTTTTTAAATGGAAATCATAGAGGATCGTGAGATATTGTATAATAGCATGTGTTGTACTGGCATTTTTCTGGCACACTAAAATATTAGGCATAAGATATGCATTTTACAGCACTTCAGTATTCAGAGACTTTCCATCTATGTGCAAAAAGGTGGGGTTTTTTCAAGCATGGCAAAGAACACATTAAAATGTGTTACTGACAAAGGTGATTTTGTTCAGCAAGGTGTTATGCATAATTGATCATTTTTACTGGTCAGATGGCATATATTTGTCATCAAAATGAAAAAAAGAGTTATAAAACTTCTCAATTACAAATTCTTGCTGAAAATTGTTCATTTCTAACTCCTTTAACTATAGTACATAAAAGACCTTTACTGAAGTCAGTAAATTATTTATTTTCCATTGTAATGAGTAGGAAACACAGCTGAAAGAAATTAATATCAAGATGTTCTCCTTAATAACCAACCATATACTGCCTAGTATATTTCCATTTAAAGTTTGAAAGAAAAGCAAGTTGCCTAATGGTTGATAATGGTTGATCTGGGCAAGACCTTCTTTTTGAAATAATATGTGTTCATTAAAAAAATACACTCAAACCTTCAAAGAGGCTTTAAATCATGAGTTGCTGCCGATCTAAAAGAATCATAATCCAAATTTATCTTCTATGTCATTATGAAACATGTTTTAAGCAGCTTTTGGATACAGTTTGGAATTCAGTGTATCTTGGGATGATAGTTAGTTGATTATATAAACCCAGTCTAAATATTTAGTATTCCTAGAGTATACTTGTTTTGGGCTATCCCCCCTTCTTTTATCTAGTTAAAAGGTCCTGCTCAAACTAATAAAATGGTCTAACTCAGGAGTAAAGAATACTACCCCACCACCCCACACACCCACCCAATTATTACTGCATTCTAAAATAGTTTTAAAAAATGGTAAAAATCTAAAAATTACTTGTCCCACCCCTTAAGGTAAGCTCATCTAGGGGGCTACGAAATAATGATTCAAAATATGATTCATAATGGTACTGGAGAGATGTATTTTCATGCTGCTCCACTTTCTAATTGATCAAAAACAGCATAATTGGCCTTCTACCAGTTCACTGGAACTACTGATCACAGGGAAGCAATTTACCTACCCAAACAGGGTTGCCTGGGTGCTCTAGAAGAAAACTTTTTGATGTCACCTTACAGCAGATAAGGTTTGCACAGATGGATTATATTTGTTCATTCAAATAATAAAATATGAATTTTGTTCATCACACTAACACATAACATAAATGTACTGAAGTACCAACAAGCTGTGCCTGGCTGCAATGCAAGTAATTTGTTTTAAGTATCATTCTGTACAAATTTTGCCATCCAGTTTCAGATTACGTTTAGTTAATGCACCCTACCGCCCACTCTAATTAGGAGCAGATTTGTGTCCCGTCAGGGAGGCAATACTGTTTTTGCTATTGGTAAAGGGTATTTCACATGTTTCCTATTAAATCCAAAGTGTATTTACAGCTATATGCGCATATTAACCTGTGCTTTAGGGATGAAATTTTGCAGCTGCCTAATCAAGGAGGAAGGTTTTTTGACAGATCCCCACAAATGATATTTCAAAGTGAAAATCAGCACAAAAGTTCCATCCTAAGGGTTATTGGTGAGCAGGACCACAGTGTTCATAGAATTTATGTAAACATTTTCTACTGTGATTTATGGATGTTTTCCAATGTGGGTACATTTTCACAGCACATATTCTTGATTTAATTCTCTACACTGTTTCCATATTTTCTAACATTATAACAGAAACTTAGATGTTAGTAGTATCTTTGCTTTTTAATGATAGTTTAGACAGATATTGGCAGGGCTACAATGTATTCTGATCGAGCTTGTACAAATGTGGGCATTTTTTCATATACTATGTATACAGTACATGTGTGTGGAGTCGAAAACCCCTTTGTAACTGGATAACTTCCCTTTCATTTTACTAAAATAATACATATTTCATTAAACTACATGTCTCTTTGAAATGAAAGCAGAGGCGGACTGACCATTTGGAAACTCGGGCACTGTCCGAGGGCCCGGGGTCACTAGGGGGCCCCATGAGATGCCCCTGGTACCTTTTTCATAGGCTTTTTTGAGTTTGGGCAAGGACACAGGGGCCCCATGATCCCCTATTGCCCGGGGGCCCCATGATTTGTAAGTCCGCCCCTGCTACAGAGGTGCTGAGAAGAGGAGTTTCAGGGGGTGGAGTCAGTACAGGAATCACTGCTTGCAGGCAGCAAGGTACCATGGGATATGTAGTCTTTGGAAATTGAGGGGAAGCTGCAAAGCATATAGGGAAACCAGAAAGTTGTGGAAAGAGACAGCCAGGAGTTGTCAGTCCGCCCCTGAATGAAAGATACCTGTTAAAGTCGAACTCCTGGCTCACTCTTAGCTATAAGAAAAATTAATAATAGCGCCTATGGTCAAAATTGTATAACTTACTAATAGTGTACCAGCTGCAAAAAAAACACCATATATAAAGTGTACCAATTAATAAATAATTTGCGCTAGTAAAATATATATATAAATATATGTAAAGAAATCATCAAATCATAAGTCCAGAAAAATATATATATACCAATACCACAGAAAAAACTTAGCTATGATAGCTTCCCAATATACATGGAATAGATAGTGCTGAAATAAATGGTACTTTTTCTATGAAACAACCGACAACATTGCTTTTTAACATGTTGAATATATTGACATCCCTACTGTCTGAAACAAGGTACTGTATATTTTATGGCATACTAGAAAAACAAAAACAGAAGGCGCACAGGCCTTGTGCATTACCTTTACAAATCCTTTTAATGAAGACATAAAACAGTTGTGTACTAACAAACAGCATATGATATCAAGCTCATCAATCTCCACAGTGTTCCGTATTGTCTGGTCCACAGCACCAATCCCAACATGGGGATGACACTTCAAATGGCTGACGCGTTTCAAGGGCAGGTATCCTCTTTCTCAGTGTGAAATTATACTCATCCATAGAGACTATATATTGTGGAGATTGATGAGCTTGATATCATATGTTGTTTTGAGTACACACCTGTTTTATTTCTTCAATAAAAAGATTTTTAAAGGTAATGTGTAAGGCTGGTGCGCCCTCTGTTTTTGTTTTTCTAGTGTTCCTTTTGGGTTTCCCCAGTCCTTAGGGGGCTACACGGTCTTACCTATCTTCCAGCTGTTGAAGATGTAAGGTTCACCATTGCCAGAACATCCACCTTGAGCTCAGTAGGGTGTTTTTTCTATTTGCATATTTTATGGCATGTTGACTTCAGTGCCAAGAACTGGTAACGTTCAGCATGTATCTCCTGTGCTGGAAAAGAATAAAAAACTAATTCTGCTCATTATATTCTGAGCCCTAATCTTAACCTAACTCTTGGGCCTGCTGATCAGGTGCGTTAAGTGCATCAATGTTACATTAATGTACATTGTGTTAAAGTGTAGGTTCCCTTATTTGCTTCCTTTTGGCCCATTAACCAGTTGCCCTCCGCCCTATAACAGAAATACTGCTACAGGGCGGCAGGGCTGCGCAAAGTCACATATATACACTTGATTTGCATTTACGGGTAGGGGGCGCGCTCATGCCACCCTACCTGCACCACCATTGGCAACTACGGATGTCAATCACTGGGTCCCGGCCAGAGATTCTCCACTGGCGCCACAGGTCTCTCTCCTGCCAGCAATAACAACAGAGAAATACGCAGCAGCATGTTTCTCAAGTGAAACACACACAGCACACATAATAAAACAGCACACAGTTAACCCTTTGATCGCCCCAGATGTTAACCCCTTCCTGCCCAGTGTCATTAGTACAGTGTCAGTGCTTTTTATTAGCACTGATCACTGTATTAGTGTCAGTGGGATGTCAGTGGCAGTTAGTCAGTTCACACCCAGTGTCAAAATGCCCACTGCAGTCCCGCTATAAGTTGCTGATCGCCACCATTACTAGTATAGAAAAAAAAATTCCAGTATATATACTGCCATTTGTAGATGCTATAGCTTTCATGTAAACCAATTAATTTACATGTATTGGGATTTTTTTTTGGCAAAGACATGTAGCAGAATACATTTTGGCCTAAATTTATGAAGAAATTAGATTTTAAAATTTTTTTTACTGGACATGTTTTATAGTAAAAAGTCCAAAATATTGTTTTTTTGTTCACAATTGTCAGTCTTTTTTGGTTTATAGTGCAAAAAATAAAAAATACACAGGTGATCAAATACCACCGAAAGAAAGCTCTATTTGTGGGAAAGAAAGGACATACATTTCATTTGGGTGCAACATTACATGACCGCGCAATTGTCAGGTAAAGTAACGCAGCGCTGTATCGCAAAAAATGGGCTGGTCAGGAAGGGGGGTAAATCCTCTGGAGGGTAAGTGGTTAAGTATACAATTGAAAGCATTTTATTATAGCTGTTCACTAAGAAAAAATTAATGTG